GAAGAAATAGAAAATATGAATATACCTATAACAGACTAAATCACTACTAAAACACTTCCCCATGTAGAAAGGCCCAGGCCTAGATCAATCATGAATTCATGACGATGAATTCATCAGTGATGAATGCTACCAAATAGTTTTTTAAAAATTAATAACTGTATTCAAAATCTTCCAAAAACTGAAGAGGCAGAAACCATTTCAAACTCATTTTATGTAGCCAACATTACTTTGACACCAACATCAGATAAAGAGGCCACAGGGAAAGAAAACGGCAGGCCAATATCCCTGATGACTATAGATGCAAATATTGTCAACACAATGCTAGAAAACGAAATTCAACAGCACATTAAAAGTATTATTCACCATGATCAAGAGGTGCTTATACTTAACACTGTATTATACACTTCTAAGTTTTTTAAGAGATTAGGTCTAAGTTAAATGTTCTTACCATAATACAAAAAAAAAAAAAAAAAAAGTAGTCACTCCCGGCAGGCATATTATTAGATCACTGGGAAAGTCATAACACATTTGTGCACAGAAAAATATGTCATGACTTTTCCGACAATTTAATATTTTAAGAATGTTGACAATTATTTCTTTCATGCTTATTACAATATATCGGTCCTGAATAATTAAATAATCAAATAGTTATAATATTTTCTATTTAACTGGCATGCATTAGTTTCATTTTATTCTACTGAAGTCAGACTGAGTCACATCTGCTTTTCATTTAAAAGGCAAAAACAAAACAACAACAAGCATATATGTATAGATATTAGCAGATAATAGGTCACAGTAAGAATGAGAAAGTAATCATTACTTTAATGGAAAAAAGCAAGAAAAAAGAAGTAAGAGCTGTTACTACACTACTGTTGTTATCTTCCTATAGATGCTACCTACAGATCTGTTTAATTTTTACAATAAATGGGTAACTATGTGTTCTTGAAAAATGTATTTTTTTTTTTTAGTTTGCCAGAAAACATGGCAAGAGAGACAGAGTGAGAAAAAAAAAAGAAAACACACCATAGGAGAAGACCACACCTCAATCTCCTCTCCTCCATTTCTCCATCCTTTTAGGGTTTAAGGGACAAACATATATGTGCCCAGGATGTTTCTCAAGCCCCTGGGTCTGGGACTCAAACATTCCATGATCCCAGGAGGAGAAAGGAGAAGAGATTGTGGTGTGGCTATCCATTCCAGGAGGTGATCTCTCACTTTCTCTCTCATCATCTGACTTTCTCTGGTGAGCACATGCACCCTATGGCAAAAACCTCTTAAAAAATGTAATATTTAACTTGGATATCAGAAACATTGAGCTTTTAGTGCTTTAAGATGTTACTGAATCATAAAAACCTAGATTGTTTGTTCTCTAGTGTTAGTCATTTTAGCCACAATTACAATACATGGTTAAATAGACAATAATGGCATATGTAATACTTGGTCATGTGAAAGAGACTTCTATAAATGTTATCTTTTGCTTATGAGAAAATTTATTCAAGTATCTCTGCCTACATAAAGAAAAGAGTATATCCAAGACAAACAGAAGCATGCAAATTCCATTATAGGAAATGATACCAAGGTAGCATTTTTAATTGTTCAGACGAGTAAACAAAACTTATTTTGATTTGATAGAAAGTGGTCAGATATGGAGGATCTATTGCTGAATGAAGTAAGCCAGGCTATGAAAGAAAGATATTGTATGTATCCACTTAATATATACCGACTATCTATGAATATACCTATAACAGACTAAATCACTACTAAAACACTTCCCCATGTAGAAAGGCCCAGGCCTAGATCAATCATGAATTCATGACGATGAATTCATCAGTGATGAATGCTACCAAATAGTTTTTTAAAAATTAATAACTGTATTCAAAATCTTCCAAAAACTGAAGAGGCAGAAACCATTTCAAACTCATTTTATGTAGCCAACATTACTTTGACACCAACATCAGATAAAGAGGCCACAGGGAAAGAAAACGGCAGGCCAATATCCCTGATGACTATAGATGCAAATATTGTCAACACAATGCTAGAAAACGAAATTCAACAGCACATTAAAAGTATTATTCACCATGATCAAGAGGTGCTTATACTTAACACTGTATTATACACTTCTAAGTTTTTTAAGAGATTAGGTCTAAGTTAAATGTTCTTACCATAATACAAAAAAAAAAAAAAAAAAAGTAGTCACTCCCTGCAGGCATATTATTAGATCACTGGGAAAGTCATAACACATTTTTGCACAGAAAAATATGTCATGACTTTTCCGACAATTTAATATTTTAAGAATGTTGACAATTATTTCTTTCATGCTTATTACAATATATCGGTCCTGAATAATTAAATAATCAAATAGTTATAATATTTTCTATTTAACTGGCATGCATTAGTTTCATTTTATTCTACTGAAGTCAGACTGAGTCACATCTGCTTTTCATTTAAAAGGCAAAAACAAAACAACAACAAGCATATATGTATAGATATTAGCAGATAATAGGTCACAGTAAGAATGAGAAAGTAATCATTACTTTAATGGAAAAAAGCAAGAAAAAAGAAGTAAGAGCTGTTACTACACTACTGTTGTTATCTTCCTATAGATGCTACCTACAGATCTGTTTAATTTTTACAATAAATGGGTAACTATGTGTTCTTGAAAAATGTATTTTTTTTTTTTAATCTTCCCAGAAAACAGGAAACAAGACACACAGGGAGAAAAAAAAAAGAAAACACACCATAGGAGAAGACCACACCTCAATCTCCTCTCCTCCATTTCTCCATCCTTTTAGGGTTTAAGGGACAAACATATATGTGCCCAGGATGTTTCTCAAGCCCCTGGGTCTGGGACTCAAACATTCCATGATCCCAGGAGGAGAAAGGAGAAGAGATTGTGGTGTGGCTATCCATTCCAGGAGGTGATCTCTCACTTTCTCTCTCATCATCTGACTTTCTCTGGTGAGCACATGCACCCTATGGCAAAAACCTCTTAAAAAATGTAATATTTAACTTGGATATCAGAAACATTGAGCTTTTAGTGCTTTAAGATGTTACTGAATCATAAAAACCTAGATTGTTTGTTCTCTAGTGTTAGTCATTTTAGCCACAATTACAATACATGGTTAAATAGACAATAATGGCATATGTAATACTTGGTCATGTGAAAGAGACTTCTATAAATGTTATCTTTTGCTTATGAGAAAATTTATTCAAGTATCTCTGCCTACATAAAGAAAAGAGTATATCCAAGACAAACAGAAGCATGCAAATTCCATTATAGGAAATGATACCAAGGTAGCATTTTTAATTGTTCAGACGAGTAAACAAAACTTATTTTGATTTGATAGAAAGTGGTCAGATATGGAGGATCTATTGCTGAATGAAGTAAGCCAGGCTATGAAAGAAAGATATTGTATGTATCCACTTAATATATACCGACTATCCGCACTCTATGGTAGAGAGCGAAATATTGGAGGACATAAAAGCAGTGAAAGTAATTAACGAGAATAAGACAGTGTGGAATGGGGGGGGTGAAGAGAAGAGGCTAGAGAAAGATAGCAAGAGAACAAACAGAAAGGCAGGACGTTAGTGAGAAACAGATATGGCTTATTACCTGTTGATGATGACATGTATAGTATTTTCAACTGGATTGGTCTGAGAAGTATTTCATGATAGGTAAAGTCTTTTTACAAGCAAAATGAGAAATAGTGATCGACTGTTTAAAAATAATAATAATTAGAATAATAATAATAATGATTGGGAAAAACATTGAAAAGATATTGAATGATGAAGTGGGGAGATTAATGTTTCTGTATTGACTGACATGCATGGCATTCCCTTTTGAAAAAGAAATGTAATACACTGTAAAGTTATATGTAATATAAAGAAGATTATGATAATAAAAATAAAAAAGTAAAAAAAAAAAACTTATTTGTATGTAGGTCATGCTTGTTAATCTGTATATTTCCTTTATAAAGACCTAGAGGATATTTGTGAGGTTTTATTAATTATTACAATCAATTAAAGGTATACAGATTTACAAGTTGGGCATATCAATTAATTGAATTGAACTCTTTTTCTATGCAAATACATTATTCTGTGGTGTGTGTGTATATGTGAAAACGAAAAAAATAGAAAATAATGTAGTAGTAATGACTAAACAGAAATTTAGATTCTGATCTTTTTTATCGTAATTTTTTTATATTACATTTAATCACATATATCTTTCTTTCTTTCTTTTCTTTTCTTTTTTTTTTTTTTTTGGAGAGGTTTTTGCTATAGGGTGTGTGCACTTGCCAGAAAGAGAGAGAGACAGAGAGACAGAAAGCGAGAAATCATCCCCCATGGAGGATGGCCACGACACAATCCCTTCTCCTCCATTCTCCTCTCTGGATCTTGGACACGCATGCACATGCGCCTGGTGTGAATTTAAGCCACTGGGTCCGAGACTTGAACCGTGGTCAACTACATGGGAGTCCAGCGACATAGCCATTATGCCAACTGCTGGTCCCAATCACATATATCTTTACAGTGTATTACATTTCTTTTTCCAGCAGGATTACCATGCATATCAGTCAAGACAAAGACATTACTATCTACATGATCATCATCAAATAGCTTTTCATCATTCTTTTTCAGATTACTATTATTTATTCTCATTATTTTATTAAACATCTAATCACTATATATCATTTGGCTTGTAAAGAGAATTTACTCAACATGAAATATATCTCAGATCATTGCAGTTGAGAATACTCTACACGATCTTAATAATAGAATAAAAAGGTAAATGTTAAGTTACTGAGGTTTCAATATTGAAATATTAAAAATTATTTCAAAATATAAAAATTAGTGCAAAATATTTACATCGAAGACAAAATAATCACATACTGATATGTCCACTCAGGTAAATTAAAGGAAGATAAAATAATAGTTCAGATACTTCATTTCAAGAAAAATAAGAACAAAGGAAATGTTTATAAAGAGTTCATTTTACTAACCTGACTTATTTTTCTTTGTTCTTCTATAGCTTCTTGAATTGCCTGAGATACTTTTTCTTGATCTTTTGCATGTTCTGTCTTCCATAATTCCCTTTCTTCAGCATGCACTTTTTCCAAATTTTTTCTTTCTTCTTCTATGGCTTTTAAAATTGCATCCTTCACTATTTCTTTCTCCAACTTAAATAATGAAAAAAAAAACAGTATTTTAAAGAGTGCATCATTATTCCCTGAATAAGTCAGACCTGGTTAACCTAAAAAAGACAAAATTCTGATCTTATAGGGTTAGTTCTGACAATGCTATGTTTATATACATTAAGTAATTACTGTAAAACAAAATATATTTTCTTTTTATGCAAATATTCCTACTTAAACAAGTAGGAATTTTTTTTAAATATAGATCTATATATTATAACCTTCCTCCCTCAGCCTCCTGAGCGGCTGGGACTGTGAGTGTGTTTACCACCTTACCTAACTTTTGGAGGCTGGCTGTGTATCCAACCCAGCCTCCCCTGTGGCCTCAGTCTCCCAAGTAGCAGCATCAACCAGTGCCTATGACTACTGCACTCAGCCTCCATATCGTTTCTATACTTCCAAGAAATCAAACCTTAAGTTAAAGTAGCAGATTGCAAATGAAGTGGTCTTAAGATCTTTCTTCAATCTTAAAAATTACTGAGGATGCCAAAGAACTCTTGTTTATGCTGGTAACAGATATCAATGTTTACTGTAATAGAAATTCAACTCAAGAAAAAATTAAAATATTTAGTAATTTATTTAAAATAAAATACATAAAATGTATTACGTATGAATAACATTTTATTTTTTAAAAAACTTCTATTTTCCATAATTAAAAAAATGAGAAGAATGGCATTGTTACATTTCTGTAAACCTCTTTAACCTTATATGCACATGCACCCTCTGTGTTGATGTCATACGAGACTGCTATATTCTTATCTGACTTCTTTTACCTGACAATGTATGTAATGATGTATTTTTTAGTTGAAATAGATAAATAAGATCAGTCTCGCACTGACATGTAGTAGGAAAAGGAGGAATATTTACTGGCTAGTTTAGATTATAGAAATTCTTGATGGTTTCACAGTAAAACCTGACAAACACACGATGATTCCCTATATTAACCATTTCTAGAGTTTGTCTATTTTTTTCTTTCTAAGCTACTACTATCAGTTAATTTCACTACTCACCGTCTAAGGCTTTTGATTTATTTAATTCTTCCCCTATCTCAAGCTTTCATTTCCTATTTTCCAAAAATTTAAGTCAATTATCATTATGCCACAGCTATGCTTAAAAAATTTCATCTCTCTTACCTGTGGTATAAAATTCAAATTCAACCAAGAATGCTTGCCATTCCTTAAAGCTCATTTCAAAAATAATTTATTGCTTAAAAATGTCTATGACAAAGACAATACTATTTACCCACTAATAATAATTTAATGTGTTCCTTCATGCTTTACTGGTATATAAGTATTGTTCTTAGTATCTGATTGTAAATTCTTCAAGAAAAAGACAAACGCATTGTCATTCTTCAATTTCCACCCCTGTTATAGTGATAGGCACATATGAGATATTCAGTATCTGCTTACTATTTTTTAATTTAATCAGAAATTCAATTTGTTGGTATGTATATATTTCATATCTATGAATATACTATTTAGATTATTTTAAAATTGGCTTTTAAAACACTGATCTTGATATATTCTTTTTTTTATTTTTTGAGAGAGATTTTTGCTATACGGTGTGTTTGTTTACCAGAGAGACAGGGAGTTAGAGACAGAGAAAGCAAGAAATCACCCCTGAGAGGGGATGGCCATGCCACAATCCCTTCTCCTCCATTCCCTTTTTGGAATTTTTGGCACGCACACACGTGACCTGGCATGAGTTTCAAGTTGCTGGATCCAGGACTTGAGTCACAGTTGACCACTGACCAACTAGGAGTCCTGTGCCTTAACCACTATGCCACCTACTGGCCCTGATATATTGTCTTTTTAACAAGTAAATAATAACAAATATGCTACTTTTAACATATATGCACATGCACCCTCTGTGTTTCTGTTTTGTTTTTCAAGCTGTAGGTCAGTCATGTGGGATCTGGCTGCCTTGGCCACCACACCACAGCCTGTCACTCTACAAAACTTTTTAAAAAGAATTAATACCAATTTTCCTAAACTATTTCTAAAGATTCTTGTGGAAAGAACCCTACAAAATTCATTTTTGAAGCATCCATCACCTTGATACCAAAAGCAGACAAGCACACGAGCAAAAAAAGGAAACACAAGTGTCTCTGATAAATACAGATACAAAAATCCTCAACGAGATACTAGTAAATCAAATTTAACACCACATTAAAAAAATTATACATCATGGGAATGAGCAGATGGTGTGATGGTTATGTTGCTGGACTTCCATGTAGTCAATTGTGGTTCAAGTCCCAGACCTGGTGGCTTAAAACTCATACATGGTGCATGTGCATGCATATCCCAAATCTCGAGAGGAGAAAGGAGAAGAGGGTGCATGTGCACATAAGGTTAAAGAGGCATGGCTATCCCCACGAGGGGGCGATTTCTCACTTTCTGTCTCACTGTCTCTCCAGCAAGCGCATATACCCTATATCAAAAATCTCTCTTTCAAAAAAAAAATTATACATGATCAAGAGTGTAATGTATCACATGAAATGAAGATAAAAACCATATGATTATATCAGCAGACACAGAAAAAAATTTATAAGCTACATCATCCCTTCATGATTAAAACTCTCAAAAAATAAATACAGAAGCCATATTTCTCAACACAATAAAAGCAATCTATAAAAAATATAGATAGATATGCATGGTATTTTAAACATGTAAGTTCTTTTAATAATAAATAATTTAACTATAAATCATTTGAATGCCATCAGAATCTTGTATGTGAATAAGAATATGAACAGTTATATCCTAAATTAAATAGAAAAAAATTTTAATTCTTATTTTTCTGAAATAAAAATTATACAAAACTAGACTGACAACACTATTGATGAATTCAACTTTTTCATTCCACTTACAAAGTGACAATATTACAGATGGAAATACCTTTGCAGCAGATAACAATGCCTCTTTATTTTTCTGCCTTTCTTCCTCCAAACATTTTTCCATTATTTCCTGTAAATGATAAGATGGTTGGAAAGACACTAAGTACTATTTGAGGTAATAGAACACATTCTTTCCATACTCTGAACACACTTAATGTATTACCTTCTGTTCTTGAGATTGCTGAATCAAAGCTTCCTTTATTTTTTCTTTTAACAGTTCCTTCTCGGTATCGAGCATTTCTAGGAGCCTCTGGTGCTAGAGGAAAGATAATTGAATTATGATTATGGCTTTGAGACAAGTAATTTATCTGAGAAATCAGGTAGGATTCATTTGCCAAGAATTATTGAAGTAGTTACAGGAAGAAATTATGTGAAGTTTGCTAAAATGAAGGTTTGGGGACTAAGAACAGTGAATTTACCTTTCCCCAATCCAATATATATTTTTTAGCCACCAAAGTCAACATGTATATGACATGAGATTTAATTTTTTTAAAATAACATGTTATTTATTGACTTGGTACAAAGTGTAAATAAAACTATCAGGAAAGTATCTCAGAGCTGCCAAAATACAAAGATACAGTAGCTATCTTTTCCCCTAATGAAAGAAGTGAATTTAGTTAAATACTTGTTTTCTATTTTCATCCAGCTAGTGGTAGAATTACTAATTTGGTCCATTTGAAATATTATTATAAAATGTATTTGATTCTAAGACCAAACATAGCTATTACTAAATGAGTACAGTCTTATCAAAGATATGTTTTTAATAATAATGAACTCTCCAAAACACAAGAAATTTCAATGATGGCCATTTCAAACACAGCTAAAGAATTTCAATACAAGGGAACGATCAGGAAGCCTAAATAAAGTCAAAAATAACACTAAATTAGGTTCACTTTGGTGAAAATGAAGAAACATGTAGCTCATATCTTTGTCAATTAAAAAAAGCTATTCAACTTTTTCACAAAAGACAAGATCAAATTCGGAAAGCTAATTTCCCCAAATCCAATCATATTCATATTTAACAACACAAAAGCATTCCAGAAGAACATTCTGTAGTACACAAAAAAACAGACATTTATAATGGATATAGCAAATAAATTGTATGTCACAGAAACTGCAAATGATAGACATTTCACTTCATGCAAAAAATAAAGTAAGGAATAGTTGTTCTTGTGCATGTAATTTTTCACTGTGCATCTGCACACAGGATTCGAATGTTGACTAGAAAGTGACCACACTCCTAGGCCATCTCAAAATGTCTTAATTACATCACCTCCTCCCTTTGACTCACTTAGAGTTATATATTCACAGCTCAAAACTCACAGTTCATTAGACTCCTCAGGTTTTTGCTTTTTAAGTGCCAACTCTGGTGGGAGAGATAAGCAATGCTGAAGAGACTGTGAGCTGTCAGCAATTGTCCACCTGTCTTCAGGAAGGCCATGTTCTGGTGAAAACAGTCCTTGTATGGTTTGGGCCACCTCTAGTTCGCTGGCTCAAGAGAGCTCTTTGTTAATGTCACTGACCAAGTTCCTGATATAAAAAACTCTTCCACATTCAACATCCAATGTGGAAAACAGTGGTTCAAATTTTTCAAGAGAAATACTATACATGGTAACAGGCCTGGCAGATTTTGCTTCTACTACTTCACCTCTTTTCATCAAAGTTGAAAGTCTCTGTCCATCTTCTTTAATGCAGAATAGAGAGGGGGTACTTGCATTATATTCCCAGTAAATTTCTGAAGAATGTTTTCAGTATCTTGTGTTATTTGATTGTAAGGTTTTCTTTCTGTTACTTTCCCTGTAGAATCCAGTCAGTAGCTTTCCCAGGTCTCCAACAGCAGCATAGCTCTTGGCCCTGACAGCACACCAGTCAACATTTCACATCCCCTTCCGATTCCAACCACCTGAACTCCTTGGGCTGCACTGTCCGGAGTTCCTCCACACTCAATTTTCAAAATCTGCTTTTTCTTCTTGGTTCATTCTGGAGAAGGCATTCGAGCTTTTACCAAAAGCTTCTCCTTCAACCGATTCGGCAGCTCAGCTTAAGTGGGCTCTTTGGGTTTGTGCACAGTGAACATGCCACTCAGGGATAGCAGCTTAGGAGCCAAAGCAGCCTTGGAGACAGGGGCTTCGGATCCAGTCCTGGTGGTAGCTGTTACTGCTGCGGGCGGCTGCAGCAGCTGCTGGCCACGGTGCAGTGGTTGCTGCAGCTGTTCCTGCAGTTTCAAGGACTGAGGTGGTGTCTGTGTTCAAAGACGACGACACCACCCTCCCATAGTCAGCAGTCATACTTTCATAGTTTAAACCTGTGCTTTTTTATTTATTTGTTTTTATTCTACAAGTGCTGACATGAGATTTAAGAACAACTATTCCAAATTGGAAAGCTAAGCAAAAAATGATAAAATTCTTTTCTCCAAAATTAAATTTGGAAAAATAATTCACTAAAATGATTATGAGCTTGTAACACAAAAGCAATCTGAAGATAACTACAGAAAACAAAATGTATGCCTGATGAACAACGATCATAACAGATTATTTGTGTTTCTAGCAAAACACTGGTAAAGAAGTCAGAAGATGTATTAGTAGTTTTTCTTGTCCTAGGATTTTACCACAAATTCAACAAATGCATCTATGAAGTCAGTCCAAAAATGTAACAGCTAATGTTTAAATAGTATAGCTCCTGTGTCTACTTTTATTACACTGTACTATTTTTAAAAAGGCACACAGAATTATCAGCCAGTATCATGGACTAAGCACTTGAAGTTTGAGTGGAACTTTCTAAGGAAATTTGACTTTTGTACACTCAAAAGATAAAGATAAAACAGATACTGCTTTGGAAGTGTTCTGATGTGGAAACAAAACTACAAAATACATATTGCTACTCACGCACATTTCTCTTTTAGTTACTAAAGGCAAAAAAGATATTTTCTCAGACTTAGAATGCCATTTGTATCTCTGCCTCCTTTATTTTTTAATTTATATTTAATTCCTGTACATCTTTTCAGCACACAAAATGGCTTTTCTCAGCATGAAAACAGTGCTTATTAGTCAAGTCATAGATATTACTGTATATAATATCATCAAAGGATAACTTTTTATTTTTGTTTCTATTAAATGTTTTCCCCTTCAAATATGAACTCAGTATAATTCTAATATCTAATATTTTTTAATTGATTTATGTTTAGGGCCAGCAGATGGCATGGTGGCTAAGGCACTGGATTCCCACATGGTTGATCATAGTTCAAATCCTGGACCCGGCAGCTTGAAAATCACACTGGACACATGTGTGTGTATATCCAAAATCCCAGGAGGAGAATGAAGAAAAAAAGAGATTGTGGCATGGCCATCCCCTTTTGGGGGGTGATTTTTCACTTTCTCTCTCTCTCTCTCTCTCTCTCTCTCTCTCTCTGTCTCTGTCCCTCTCCAGCAAACGCACATACCCTATTGCAAAAACAAACAAAAAACAGACTTAATGTTTTTCAAACTTGTTCTAATTTAAAACAATCTTAAGAAGATGGTCTATATAGATGTTAAATGACTAAACAGTTCATATCTAGTTGAGATAATCTATAATTCATATAAAATAAATAATTCATATAAAATCTATAATTTTAACTATGATGTATTTTATTCTATGTTTTTCAAGAGGCAAGAGAAATCATATGAAAGATGTGCTTTTCCTTTAAAAACAAATCCAAACTATGACACAAATCATGATTCTGAGAAATTATCAGAACCACATGCATTTGTGAAAGGCAACTGACTAATAGATGAGTAGACTCAGCACACAGTATATAAGAAACAGTAACTGAGACTTTACTATTTTATTCTATATAAGCCTAGGCGCACAGAGAATTTCACTAGATCAGAAACAATACCTGATTCTACTTCAAATGCACATGAGAAATATAAACATGACAAGAACTTAGATGTTAGATGCTATTACAAGTTAGATACTATTAAATGTCAGATGCCACTACTATTGGATTATCAGAAAAGTCGTATTTTGCTATGATTTTCCTATGCAAAAATGCATCATGACTTTTCCAACAACCCAATACAGCTAGTGTAAAATGTTGTTTTAACTACATTAAGGGTAAAATTAAGTAGCATTATTTACATTCACAATGTTGTATGACTATCACCACTATTTCCAAAAGCTTTTTCATGACCCCAATCATAAGGTCTGTACCCAGTAAGCAGTAACTTTTCATTCTCCCTCAGCCTAGCCCTTGTGAACTTATATTCTACCTTCTGTCTTTATAAACTGCCTATTCTAGCTATTTCATATAAACAACACTATATAATAGTTATGCTAAGTCTTGCTTATTTCATTCAGCAATTTTTAATTTTTAGTTAGTACATTTAGCACTTAGAAAAAGCTATTAAGTAGTTTATTATTGTAGTCTACATTATATACAGGTAGTAAAAGGCCAAAGCAGTTTTTCATCATATAAACCTTTTGAAAGCACAGGTACAATGAAGGATAAACAAGCATCAAAATGAAGCCCAGTAATAAGGGCATATACTCAGTGCAGCATTTCTGAGGCATAACAAAGCAGATACCAAGTTATCCATATTCAATATATTCTTACAAATATTTTTGAGGTCTGTTAAAATTAGATGTATCAAGTTGACACTTATTTTTTTAAAAAAAGAAAGAATAATGAACTTACAGGGTACCCTTTCTGATTCTAGTCATGTATAGCTTTTCAAGAAGGATAGACTCAATTCTTTACCAACTTCCACTTCTTCCTGCCATCAAGAATAGAAAAGCAAGAAATGGAAGAAAAAGCTCAACATTCCAAAACCTTCTTGTTTATCTTGTTTCTCTTTTCCATAGCAGTTTCTTCAATACATCAGGCCCTTTTAAGAATTAGCTGTAATTCCTAAACACATATTTTCAGTGTTCATCCATGTTGCTGGACGTATCTGAACATTATCTCTGCTATGGCTGCGTTATATTCCATCGTATGCTTTTTTTCCCTCTATTGACGAAACGTGGGTAGTTTTTCTACCTTTTCACTATTGTGAAAAATGCTGCTGTGAACATTCACATGCAAGTATTTGAATCTCTGTTTTCAATTCTTTTGAGGACATACCTAGAAGTAGAATATTGGGTTGTATGGTAAGTTCTAGGCTTAACTCTTTGGGGGCACTGCCAAACTGTTTTTGCAGCTGTTATATCATTTTACATTCCCATCAGCAATGTACAAGAATCCCAATTTCAGGTCCAGCTAATGGCAAACTGGTTATG